TTCTTCCAGGATTTTGGGCATGCACACACCTGCGCCCAGTGCTAGCATACACTATTTAACTTTGATGGAGTGCTGGTTTTTTCCACCAGTAGAGTGTCACAAATTTTCAAAGATTAACATGTGTTTCTTTTAAAATAAAGTTTACAGAATTCATAAGGATAATTTATATTAGAACTTTCATTGATTCAATAATCCCACTCCTTAGTATTTACCCAAAAGACAGGAAAGTACTCAGTCGGAAAGACACTTGCACATCCATGTGCACTGCAGCACTATTCACAATTAATAAGAGATGGAGTCAACCCAAGTGCTCAGGATTGGATATTTGGACTGAAAAGATGTAGCACATGTACACTATGGAATATTTCTCTGCCATAAAAAAAAAAATTAGAATCTGTTACCTAATACAAAGTAGATGAATTTAGAAGATTTAATGCTGGGGCCAGCAGGTGGTGTGGTGGTTCAGGGCGCTGGATTCCCACATGGTTGACCGCAGTTCAAGTCCCAGCAGTCTATTTTCTCGCTTTCCATCTCTTTCTTGCTCTCTCTCACTCTGTGTCTGTCTGGTCAAATTAAGTAAATAAATAGAATAAAGTTAAAAAAAAATTTATTTTGGAGAGATTTTCATTATAGGGCGCGTGCGCTTGCCAGACAGACAGAGAGAGACATAGAGACAGAAAGCGAGAAATCATCCCCCCAGGGGGGATGGTCACACCGCAATCCCTTCTCCTCCATTCTCCTCTCGGGATCTTGGGCACACACACACACACGTACCCAGCGTGAGTTTTAAGCCACCGGGTCTGGGACATGAACCGTGGTCGACTACATGGGAGTCCAGCAACATAGCCATTACGCTAACTGCTGGTTCCCAAAGTTCAAATAATTTTTTAAAAAAATTTAATGCTAAGCCAAGTAAGTCAGACTATGAAAGACACTGTATGTCCCTGCTCAATAGATACCAAATGTCTGCACTCTATGACAGAAATCAATAGACCTGGGGACCAGCAGATGGTGTAATGGTTGTGGCACTGGACCCCCATGTAGTCAACCATGGTTTGAGTCCTGGGGGCTTAAAATGCATGTTGGGTGTGTGTGCATGCATGCCCAAAATCTGGAGAGGAGAATGGAGAAGGGACTGCAGCATGGTCAACCCCCTTGGGAGGTGATTTCTCTCTTTCTGTCTCTATCTCTCTGGCAAGCACACACGTCCTATAGCAAAAATCTCTACAAAAAAAAAAAAAAAAGAGAGAGAGAGAGAAAGAAAGAAATTGATAAGACCTGAAGACAGAACGGAAGAGAAGACACGTGTGGATACCAGAGGGCAGTAGACAGTGATGGTGCGTGAAAGAGGTTAAGGAGGTAGCACTTGACAGACATAGAATAAAAAGTTCTCTAATGGAAAAGATGTATATGGTAATATCCTTGATTTGATGGTAACATAATGCATGTTTTTGAAAAACTATGGGCCCCCAGGCACTGGATTCCCATGTGGCCGACTGTGGTTTGAGTCCCGGACCTGGTGGCTTGCTTTCTCACTTGCTCTCTTTCTCTCTCTCTCTGTTTTTCTCTGGTGGGCATACATGCCCTATAGCAAATTAAAATAATAATAAATAAAATAAATCATTATTTTTAAAAAGAAAAATGATATTGTATAAACGATAATTAAATATAAAAGAAATTGGGCCGGCAGGGGGCGTGGGGGGTAAAGGGGGTGGGTGCTGGATTCCCACATGGCTGGCTATGGTTCAAGTCTTGGACCTGGTGGCTTGCTTTCTCGCTTTCCCTTTCTCTTTCTCTCTGTGTCTCTCCGGTCAAATTAAAAAGTAATAATAATAAATGGAATGAAATAAATTTTTTAAATGTAAAAGAAATTCATTAGAAAAAGATAATTTAAATAGCTATTTAGAGGCTAGATCCTGGCACACCAGTAAAACATAATGCTCTACAAGGTTGACCCACATTGAAGAGTTTGGAGTTTGTGTCCAGAGGCTTCCTTGAGCATACCAGGCACACATTTGCCTGTAAGTTTCAGGGCTGACTGAGGTTGGGGGTGGGGCCCAGCATAAAGACCATGATAGGGCAAGCAGGTGCTACAGAGGATAAGATAGGTGGATCTCTGGGCTGGCAGGTGGCATGGTGGTTAAAGGCACCGGATTCCCACATGGCCAATTGCAGTGTGAGTCGCTTGCTTTCTCACTTTTTCTTTCTCTCTCTCATCAAATAATAATAATAATAATAACAACAACAACAACAAATGGAATTAAATAAATATATTTAAAAATGATTGGATCTCACATGGCCACCTGCACAGCTCAAGTAAGTCCTAGATACAGCAGCCTAAAAACATGCCAGCATGTGTGCATGCATGCCCAAAGTCCAGAGAGGAGAATGGAAAAGGGATAGGAATGGGAATTGCTAACCCCCCTGGGGACAACTTCTCACTTTTCCTCCCTCTCTCTGTTTCCTCTTTTCTCTCCCCTGCATATACCCTATATACCAATACTAAAAAAGAAAGAAAGGAAGGAAGAAGGAAAGAAAAAGACCATGCCAGAGGTGCTGTATCTCTGTCTTTTTTACTATCACTCTTGCTCATGTAAGAAATAAAAATAAATCGGGCCCAGCAGTTAGCATAATGGCTATGTCGCTGGACTCCCATGTAGTCGACCACAGTTTGCGGCCTGGACCTGGTGGCTTAAGCTCACACTGGGTGCTTGTGGGTGCGTGCCCAAGATCCCAAGTGGAGAGTGGAGGAGAAGGGATTGCGGTGTGGCCATCCCCCCTGGGGGGTGATTTCTCGCTTTCTGTCTGTCCCTTTCTGTCTGTCTGGCAAGCGCACATGCCCTATAGCAAAAACCTCTCCAAAAAAATAAATAAATAAAATAAAATAAATGTTTTAAAGAATTATTTAATTTCATTTATTATTATTACTTTTAATTTGCTCGACAGAGAGAGAGGGAATGAGAAAGCAACCAGCCAGGTTCAGGATTCAAACTGCAGTCCATCATGTGGGAGTCCAGCACCCCAATCACCATGTCACCTACTAGCCCCAATAAATGAAATTTAAAAGTAGATTTTCAAGGGGTCTAAGTTTTTTAATACAAATTTCCTAATGTCCTAAGTATGCACATTTTTCTTTTTTACATCAGTAAACAGCTACAGTATGTACTGCCTATAGTTGAAATAGGACTACTATCATTGAAAATTGCTTCTATCAGGGCCAGCAGGCAACACGGTGGCTAAAGGTGCTGGCCATAAGGCCGACTGCAGTTCAAGTCCTAGACCTGGTGGCTTACTTTCTCGCTTTCCCTTTCTCTCTCTCTCTCTGTCCCTCTCTAGTCAAATTAAAAATAAAAATAAAAATATATAAAACAACAAATGGAAATAAATAAATAATTATCTTTTTAAAAAGTAAAAAAAAAAAATGCTTCCATGGCAACAACTGGAACTCTAAAAGTTGGCCCCTAGTTCCAATGATTGAAGGCATAGTAATGGTTATTATGGCATCCTACAGTTTAACCACGTACATATTAAAACACAGATAAAGATCAGGAGGTGGCATCTCTCGTTAAGGCACTAGACTCCCACATGGCTGACTGTGGTTTCTCTCTCTCTCTTTCTCTGGTTGAATTAAAAATAATAATAATAATTCTTAAGAAAAGATAAGACAAATAAGCAATAACAAGCATTTAGCTGACAACCTTTTAAAACCTTTGATACATTTCATGCGTGGGAAGCCAGAGCAACTATTGAAGCGACTTAATTAGAACTGTGTTTAACGAATAAAATTATACAGACCATACAGAAGAATGATAATGCATTTCTGTGGCATTTATAACTTTATTCCTGGCCAATACTTATTAGAAAAGGGGTTATGATATCAAATCAAGTTTTAGACTGTCAACTCAAGAGTTTATCATTTCAAGTATTAGATGTAAAGTCAAAACAATTTTAACCTAGTCGAACATTCATCTCTAAAAACAGTTAACAGATTGAAATAACCCAATTTCAAAACATTTTCTGTATCATGCTTGAAATGCAATGAAGTCACATTATTACACAATAATGAAGAGGCAAAGATTTGGCCTATCACCTGGAATAACAGAGGGTGGATTACCTAAACTCCTTTTAGTAAGACACTTTTCTAAAAGAAATTTATCTTATTTTCTTTGAACAATACTGTCCTATTATAAACTAAATTATCTTTTGGTCTTTGGGAAATCCACGTGTCACTGCTGGGGGTGCACGGTGGTGCTAAAAATAAATAAATAAAAAGCAGGTGCAAGGTTTGCAGCCCTGGGAACTAGGACGCTCCAGTTCCAGTCCCAATTCAGCCCAAGCTCTAATTGTGACCTTGGGAAATGTCCCTGGCTAGGAGCTCCGTTTCCCTCTCTTCTCATTTACAAGTGCTTGGAGCTTGGGGGTGGGACCAACCCCCCGGTATCGCAGGCAACCGGGGGGCAGCCCTCTCCAGGTACAGGCAGATCCGCACCCAGGCTCGTCACCCTGGCTCTCCCCGTCCGCTCAGCCACCAGCTCGATGGGAGCTGTCTGTTCCGGGTTTCTCCCGCCGGTACCCTCGGTTCTGCACGGCGCTCCCCCAGCTCCCCACCCCCACTTTGTGCATCGCTTTCAAAAAGAGACCTTCCATCCGCCGAGAAATGCTCCATTTACCCTTTACTCTCACCCGGGTCTTTCTCCTTTCAGAGGACTCCTGACCTGCACTGGAGAGAGCCCCCTACTCACCAAGGTTCTGACTACTGACGCTTTTCCTTCCCTCCCCTCAGGAAACCTCCCCTTCCCACCACCTTCACCTCCAGGGGAGCCCCTCTATTCACGCAACCCCATTCTTCCTCGAGCTCTCGCGTATCTCCATCCAGCTGCGTTTTGAGGAGCTCTAAGGGACCCTCCGTTCTAATCAGAAAAAAAAGAAAAAAGAAAAAGAAAAAAGAAAAGAAAAGCCTCCCTCCATATCCGCCATCGGGTTCTGGGGACCCTTCTCACCTCCGCGGTGAGAGATGTGTTTACTGAGGAATCGCTGCTTCTTTCTCTGGTGCAGCAAGGTCGGGTATTTAAGCAATAAGAATGAGGTCACCAAGTACCCTCCCAGGGTAGAGAGAAGGTATAAGGCTGCGGCGGACGACATCTCAGTCACCGTGTGGGACGTCTCCCACCTCCGGGCCCTCTGAACTCCGCTGCGGCGGTCGCAACGGCTGCGGCGGCGGCTGCTCGAGATCTGCTCGCCCCCAGCCGGTGCGAGTGGTGCAGCGCACTTGGCGACAGGGCCCATCACGCAGGCGCAACCAGAGCCCAGCGCGGGGCAACAAAGGGACCGACACGCACGCGCACTCCCGCCCCGGAGCAGGAGCCTGCGGAGGTCTCGCGGTGAGCGCTGGTTCTGGGGTCCCACCGCAGTGCTTGGAAGAAGCTGTGAACCGAGATGAAAGCCTGTAACCAACCCTGCTAGTGTCCTTTCCTTCACTCAAGCAGAAAAGGCTATGCAAGGACAGCTGTCAGGAAACTCGGAACAAAATTGGAAAATACAAAATCAGAAAGGAAAGGCTCCCAGGTACATCTTAGCTCTTACTCCAGGAAATGCGAAGAATTGTTACAGAGGGAGACTTTAAAACTTGCTAAAAAGAATCAAAAGCCCTTCCACAGCTGAGCAGATAACTATAGATAACACTAATTCATTGTATATTTCAATGTCACCAAAGTGAGGATTCTAAATGTTCCCAATACCAATTAATGATACCTGTTTGAGGTAATGGATATACTAATTAGGGCTAATTATACTGATTTGATCATTACGTATTTTATTTATGAACTAAAAAAACCACACACAGTAGCACATAAATATGTACAATATATGTGAATAAAAACAGTAAACTAAACCTCAAAAAAAAAAAAATCAACCCCCTCCCATTTAACTAGCTGATTTTCCCTAGGGCCATACATACCCTAAAAGGTACTATGATCGTTTATAAGTCAAATATTTGTGAGACTGACCCCTTTCCTTCATTTCACGTGAACATGCCAGTCCCCATGTGTTGGACACTAACGACACTTGAGCAATATTTGTTGACTTACAAGTCCATTTAAAACAAGGAAACGTTGGGAGGGCTTTAAGATGTCACCCAAAAGTCATAAAAAGACTGGGAATTAAATCTTAGAAGGCCCTACTAGTTTCCCTTTCATCCCATACATTCCAAACAACTAGAACACTAAGAGCCACGTTTCAATACAAAAGAATTAATGGAGGACCAAGGGAGGAAAATTGGTAAGAGCATGTCTCCCACAGAAATGTAGGGCAGAGTGATTATCTAAAATCTGATTATTCCTGACTCTGGCCTTGAGCAAGTCACTTCATCTGTAAAAAAAATAATTTTTGATTAAATGGTAACTTTGACTAAATGATAAATGATAAATTTTAACTAAGTGATTTTTTAAATAATTATTTTATTTACCTTTATTTATTTACTTATTTTAATTGACCAGACAGGGACAGAGTGTGAGAGTGGGAGAGAGGGAGAGAGGGGGAAAGTGAGAAAGCAAGCTGCCAGGTCCAGGACTAGAACTGTGGTCAGCCATGTGGGAGTCCGGCACCCTCACCCACTGTCCCACCTGCCAGTCCCACTAAGTGATTTTTTAAAAAAAATTTTGTGGGCCAGCAGATTGTATAGTGGTAAAGGATGCTGGACTCACAACAGGGCGAACCGTGGTTCAAGTCCTGGACCAGGTGGTTTGCTTCACCCCCCCCAACTCCCCCCCTATCACTGTCTGGTCAAATTAAAATAAATAAATAATAAAATAATTCTTAAAAAAAATTTTGGGGGGCCAGCAGGTGAAAAATTTTTTTTGCTATGGCACATGTGCTTGCCAGAGAGACAGAAAGGGAGAAATCACTCCCCAGGGAGGATGGCCATGCTGCAATCCCTTCTCCTCTCAGGATTTTGGATACACATGCACACGCACATGCACACACACACACGGGTGGTGTGAGTTTCAAGCTGCTGGGTCCGGGACTCCAACTGTGGTCAGTCATGTGGAAGTACAGCGATGTAACCACTACACCATCTGCTAGTCCCAATAGTTATGCCTTTTTAAAAAAATTTATTTATTCATTCATTTATTTAAATTTGACCAGAGAGAGACATAGAGAAAGTGAAAAAACAAGCTACCAGGTCCAGGACTTGAACTGTAGCTGGCCATGTGGGAGTGTCCAGTGCCTTAACCACCACACCACTGGTTGGTCCCCAATAGTTATGCCTTTTTAGGAGAAAAAGAGAGTACAGAAATCCCCAAATAGACCGCGGTTTGCGTCCAGGACCCAATGGCTTAAAACTCACGCCGGGCGTGAGTTTTGATTTGAGTAGCCCAGTTCATGCCATGGCTGTTAAGGTGGCTGGATCCCACAGGACCAACCAACCACAGTTGAATACTGAACCCAGGGACCAGCAGTTAGCATAATGGCTATGTTGCTGGACTCCCATGTAGTCGACCGCGGTTTGAGCCCTGACCCTGGCGGCTTAAACTCACGCCGGGCGCGTGCACATGCGTGCCCAAGATCCCAAGAGGAGAATGGAGAAGGGATTGCAGTGTGGCCATCTCCCCTGGGGAGTGACTTCTTGCTTTCTGTCTCTCTGTCTCTCTGTCTTTCTGGTGCGCACACACGCCCTATAGCAAAAAACTCTCCAAAAATAAATAACTAAATAAATAATACTGAACCCAGCAACTTGAGAGACACACCAGACACATGTTTGCATGTGTCCAAAATCCTAAAAAGAGGGAGAAATGGAGAAGAGGAATTGTGGGGTGACCATGGTTCATGGGGATGAGGATGCTTTCTCACGTTCCCCTTTTCTCTCTGTGTCTCTTCAGTGAGTACATGCTCACTCTGGCAAAAACAAAACAAAACAAAAGCAGATTAAATAAATCATGGTAATGGAAAACAATGCAGCTGTTAAAATTGGTGATATACAGGGCAGTACGTGGAGTGGTGGTTAAGGGTGTTGGACTCCCACATGGCTGACCAGTTTGAGTCCCAGATCTGGCGGCTTGCCTGCTCACTCTCTCTCTCTTTCACTCTCACTCTGTCCCTCTCTGGTCAAATTAAAATAAACAAATAAAGTTAAATAAAAAAATTATTTTAAAAAAATAGTTATATACACTTTCATTTATTGGCAAGGAAACATCTACTACCTATTTTTGAGTAAAAACAAAGATTATGGGGTCCAGCTGCAGTAGCTGACTGCTGACACCGTGCTTCCCAGGCTGAGACCACATGAGAGACCTAGTTTCAATTCTCAGTCAACCTAAAGGCTGGGTGTGGTGGCATATAACCCTACTGACTCAAGAGTCTGACGAAGAAGGATCACCAGCCTGAGACTAGCCTGGGCAACATAGCAAAACCTTGTCTATACAAAGAGCTGGGGACCAGATAGTGGTACAGCTATAAAACATGATGTTCAAGGGCCAGTAGGTGGCATGGTGGTTAAGGGTGCTGGACTCTCATGTGGCCAACCATGGTTCAAGTCCCAGACTAGGCAATTTGCTTTCTCACATTCCCTCTCTTGTGTGCTCTGGTCAAATTTAAAGAATTATTCATTTAATTTTATTTTTTCATTCATTTATTTTAATTTGACCAGAGAGAGAGAGGGAAGGAGGGAGAGGAGATGAGAAAACAAGCCTCCAGGTCCAGGACTCAAACCTTGGTCGGCTATGTGGGAGTGTCCAGCGCCTTAACCACCATGCCACCTGCTGGTCCCACTCTGATAAAATTTAAATAGTTAAATAAAATAATTCTTTTTTAAAAATGATGCTTTCGAAGGCTGCCAATATGGAAAAGTTCTTGGTTCAAATCTGTAGAGCTTCCTGAGAAAATGGGTGCCATGTAAGCACATGACCCAGAGTCATTTACATGCTGCGGTGGATCACAGCATCAGTACCCTGTTGGGATTGCTGTCTCTCTCTCTCTCTTAGATGACATTAATTTGAAATAACTTATTTTGGGACCAGCAGTTGGCGTAATGGCTATGTCGCTGGACTTCCATGTAGTCGACTGCAGTTGGAGTCCCAGACCTGGTGGCTTAAACTCACACTATGTGCGTGTGCGTCTGTGCCCAAGAACCCAAGAGGAGAATGGAGGAGAAGGGATTGCAGCGTGGCCATCCCCCCTGGGGAGTGATTTCTCACTTTCTGTCTCTGTCTCCCTCTGTCTGGCGAGCGCACGCACCCTATAGCAAAAACCTCTCCAAAAAAAAAAAAAGAAAAAGAAAATGCAAAATAGGAGCCAGCAGGTGGTGTAGTGAAGGTGTTGGACTCCCACATGGTTGACCACGGTTCAAGTCACTGGGTGCATGTGTGTGTGTGTGCCCAAAATTCCAGGAGTAAAATAGAGAAGCAATTGTGGTGTGGCCATGCCCCCAGGGAGTGATTTCTCACTTTCCCTCTCACTGTCTCTCCAATGAGCGTATGTGCCCTATGGCAAAAACCTAAAAAAACAAAACTTTATGTGCAACCTTTTCTGGTTTAAAGACTAACAAATAGGCAAAAGGATCTCCTGTGAAGTCCCTTCTGACCTATTGATTCCTCAAAGAGAATTCATTTGACACATTTGCTAAGCAAAGGATAATGCAAATGTTGTTATAAAAAGACATCTAATTTCTTGGCACCAGCAAGTGGCATGGTGTTTAGGGTGCTCGACACTCCCACATGGCCAACCACGGACCCAGTCCTGGACCTGGTGGCTTGCTTTCTCATTCCCCTCCTACCCCCTACCCCAGTCTTTCTCTGGTCAAATTTTTAAAAATGGATGAATAAATAAAATTAAATAAATCTTTTTTTAAAGGCCATTTAATTTCTTTAATAAGTATTGTTTTTAAAATTTGCTAAAATAGGGGCC